TCTCCCCCCTCACCGTCCCCTCGGCTCCAACCGCCGCTCCCGCCTCAGGCCGCCGCCGCCACGCACTGACGTCACTTCCGGCGGCGCCCACCCCTGACGCTACTTCCGGCCGCGGCCGCTGCCAAGGAGGGGCGCTCTGGCCGCGAGCGGGGTCATAGAGAGGAGCTGGTCCTCCAAGTCCTCCGGGATTGCTGGAAAAGGGTCCGGGAAACCTGGAAAAGGGTCCGGGAAACCTGGAAAAGGGTCTGGGAAACCTGGAAAAGGGTCTGGGATTGCTGGAAAAGGGTCCGGGATTGCTGGAAAAGGGTCCGGGATTGCTGGAAAAGGGTCCGGGATTGCTGGAAAAGGGTCCGGGATTGCTGGAAAAGGGTCTGGGAAACCTGGAAAAGAGTCCGGGAAACCTGGAAAAGGGTCCAGGATTGCTGGAAAAGGGTCCGGGATTGCTGGAAAAATGTCCGGGAAACCTGGAAAAGGGTCCGGGAAACCTGGAAAAGAGTCCGGGATTGTTGGAAAAGGGTCTGGGAAACCTGGAAAAGAGTCTGGGAAACCTGGAAAAGGGTCTAGGATTGCTGGAAAAGGTCCGGGATTGCTGGAAAAGGGTCTGGGAAACCTGGAAAAGGGTCCGGGATTGCTGGAAAAGGGTCTGGGAAACCTGGAAAAGGGTCCAGGTACTTTGCGATAAATTTGGCAGCCAAATGGAAAAAATTCAGGGCCAAAACGAAGAGATTTGGGGGCATAAAAAGGGACTTGGGGCCAAAAAACCCCAAGGGAATTGGGATAAAGAACGGGGGATTTGGAGGGGCAAAAATAAGGAATTTCGAGGCAAAAAGGGGGATTTGGGGACAAAAAAACGGTGATCTTCAGGGAAAAGATGGGGGGAAAAAAGGGAATTGGGTGAAAAGGGGGGAAATGACGGGGAAAAAGATTCGGGGCAGAGAAAGCTCAAAACTCCACCCTAAAATCGTCAAATTGCACCAAAACGCCTCAGAATCCAGGCGGGGGCGGAATCGGTGGGAATTCGGGAATAAAAATATGCAAATTAACTCACTCAGGCCACGCCCCCCCACCCGCGGGTGCTTTAACAGCGGCTTTTGGGGGGGAGGGAGGAGGAATTGGGGGCCCCCCATTTTGTGCCCCCCCCCCCCTCTTTTTGACCCCCCCCCATAGTCCCTTCCCACCCCTTTCCCCTCCCCCAATTTTTGGAGCCACACGCTGAGAATTTGGGATTTTTCCACACTTTATTTTGGGAGGGGGGGGGTTGTTTCCAACGCTTCGATCCTGCTCTGGGGACCCCCCCCCACCCCCCCCATAAATTGGGGACCCCTCTATAAATTGTGGATCTTCCCATAAATCTGGGATTCTCCATAAATTGCAACCCCCCCAAAAAAAAAAACTTGGGATAACCCCATAAATTGGGGA